CCCGCCATGTTCTCTGTGTTTCTGTCGTCAAAGATTCAATCTGTGACAACTTCAAATGCGCACAATTACAGCTAACGTGAGTAAATATATATACAGGATTTCTTGCTCAACTGAAGCTTCCGTAGTTGTTATCATTTCATATTTCATTCATGTCGTTCACTCGTTTAATTACAGCATATAAATGGATTAATCAGGATAACACATACATACCTAAATGAGTTAAATTGTAAGTACCCTTTTTATGCGTTATATTTGCATAAAGATGCGTGGTTATAGTATTACTTAGCGATAGGGTATAATTAACGGTAAAGTCTATATGTCAGTCAGTTTCTCTTGATTCGTTCTCCGTTTTCCTTGTCTAAGCTCACAAAAAAACAATGAATTGATATATACGCATCAAAGTTATTTTCAGTGTCAATCGCCAGACTGGAGGATACGGAGAATTATGACGTTTTCGAGGCTGCGTCGTGCAACGATTGAGTGGTTACCGGTCTCCAGTTGAACATACCAAGAGGTGCACAGAGCTATACGTAGGTGTTATTATATGAAATATATATAATGAAGTATTATTATACTTCGGATAATATTGTATCCATCGATTACAGTTTCGATATTAGATAGATATTAGAGATTAGATAGTATTCGATCGATCGATTAGAGATTCTGAGAATTATTTTCACATGGTGAACATTACGTTCATATAGCACACTTCCATGTTAGGAGAGCAGCACTGATGAACCGAATACAGCTTATGTGTGACAGAAGCACTTAAACTTGATCCATCGTGGAGATTACATCACAGTTTGTTGACTCGTTAGATTTAGGACGCGACGTTATACAAGGTCGGCAAAACGGATCTTCGCTTTTACAAATATTACCGATCGAATCGAAACAATTATAAACTTCACACGCTGTGACGTTATGCGATGCATCTCACATCGTTTGTGACACTTCTAGAGACTATAAGTGGTTCCTACAAGACATAGGGACCTAAATATTACCCAGGGGCCTCGTTGTCAGAAACAAGATTAGTCTTAACATTAGGCTTAACATTAAATTTTTCTCATAGGACCGTTAACAGAGTTTCTCATACACAGTGTGCAGAGGTCCACTCTATGAGAAAAAAGTCAATGTTGAGTAATTAATGTTACGAATAATTTTGTTTCTAACAACGAACCCCTAATCATGCTATCATCTACAAGTGTGTGGGATAGTCGAGTGGATCAGGCAGCATGCGATCACTACATCTACGGTAGAGTGGTAAAACCATAGAAATACATAGAGACACCTGGTCTACCTATGTTATTTCTATGGGTAAAACTACGCAGGGCTGTGCAGTAGCAGTACATAGAGTGTAGCAGAAACGAGCGGTGGATAAATGCGACCTACCTTTCACACAGAAGTCATCATGCACCGCGATTCTCTCTGTACGAACTACTATTGTACGTTACATGACATGATGTTAGGGTTAGAGCCTACGTAGAATGAATGCACATCAAGCACACATCGTAGAGAGATTACTGGACTGCGTTGGAATCATGCTGGTCAGAACCTAAACGGTATAATTACTAAGTGGTTAGTACAGTTTTTACAAACGTACACGCATGCACGTATGCACACGCGCGCGCACACACACGCACGCACGCACGCACCTTGGAATTGCTCACGAACACACACACGCACACACACGCGCAGCTGCAGCACACACACACACATCGCACAGACACAGACACACCGGCGACACAATGGACCAAAGCCACAACAACGCAACGCACGAACGAAACGTGCACATGCACGCAGCCGTACCGTGGCACGCAGCACACGCACGAACGCAGCGCGACGATAGGGCAAGAACGTACACATGCACGCACGCGCGACATCACACACGCACGTCGACGCAGCACACAACACCACGCACACGCACACGCACGCACGCACTGCACGCACGCACGAGCGCGGAACGTGCAACACGCACGCACATGGCACAGAACCGACGATAGCAATCTAGTAGAAGAACCCCAGCAGCCGAAGATGAGAGCTCTATTGGTTAGATGGCGGACAAGCGAAATCCACGAGGAAGCCACGATTCACACGAGGCAATCACAATGCAGCATCACATCATCGTTAGACAGCCATCCGTCGAACATACGCTGTTAGGCAGGCTGTTACAGCAAGCATGCACAGACGCAGCCGGCCAGTGCTAGTTCAGCTAGTAGACCCACAGAACCGACGACGATAGATCGATGCGAGTGGTCCGAGCTTGCTTAAGCAGGCTGCTAACGCGGTGTCATCAGCTGTGACCGCACACAGACACACCACGAACGTCACATATATACGCGCACATTCAGCACACGTGCCCGACACACACACACGCACGCAATATAACGGCACCGCACAACACGCCACCCACAGCATATACGCGCACATAATAGCAGCACGGGCGGCCACACCACACATCTATACGCACGCACGACGCACACGACACATATACCGCAGCACGGCACCGCACGCACCACACATCCACAGCACACACACAACGAACACAACTCTACCTGCACACAGGCGGTTACCAGCATGGCAGCCTAATCACACGCACAGCTGGACACAAACATTGTCGACGCGCATGGCACGAGCAGCACCACCTGGCGGCGGCACTATCAACGCCACCTGGCGCACACAGCGCAGCCCTGGACGACACAAGCAAGTGCCACCGGGCAGCTCGAGCTAACGCGCCCCAAAACCGCAGCGGCAAAAACATGCAGCGCCACCTGGCGGCAAAACCATTGCAGCGCCACCTGGCCGCAACAAGAACAACGCCACCTGGCGGCAACGCAAGCAGGTTGCGACCAGTTAATAACGCGGTCACGACACGACCGGCGCCCCCCTCGCGGCGGCACGTGCGCGCGGACGCGCACTCACGTCGTGGAAGTATCCGAGGTAGAGCTTCTGCTGGATGGGCTGCGCGTACAGCTGCAGCATGTACAGCCACTGTCGCTCCAGCCCGACCTGGTTCATGTGGATGTCTCGCGTCGGCACGTTCTCGTAGCCGCCCTCCAGACGCTGGTCCTGCCACACACACACACACGGGTGCGGTCAATAGCCTGGTCAGGGGTCAGGGGGTCGCGGGGTCGTGGTCTCGGCCCGCACGACGAGGAAAGGTCGTGGGGTCGCGGGGTCGCCCCCGCACGACGACCTTGTGGGGTCGCCCCGAAAGATGCAGTGGCAAGGTCGCAGGGTCACTCGCATGAGTAGGACTCCAAAAGTCATAGGTCAAAGGTCACGGGATCAAGGCCCGGCGTGAGAGGGTCAAGATTCACGCGAAAACGCGGGGGGGCGACGTAGTCGCAGGCGAGACTGAAACCAATCATCCACTCGCACTGCCAGACAACAAGACCCAATCAGAAACGGGCATCATCAAAAGACAGCCAATCAGCTGACGGCATTGCTAGTGGTGAACCAATCGGATCGCAGCAATGTCGGCAGACAACCAATCAGCCGCCAGCACCTCTAGAGGAATGCCACAGGATCTCCTGGTCACAATCAATGACTAATTAAATCGATTATGACTTAACGGTTAATTGGAGACGAACAGTAACACCTGTCGAGATGGAAGCAGTGAATTCACGACGACGACGTCAAATCCTTCACACACCTGCATCATCATCATCGCAATCAAACGGTAAAAACATTATTAAAGTCAAAATAAATATAAAAAAATCATTAATAACGTAGCTTTTATCAACGATCATCCATTCTTAATCTATTCCTCACATAGTCATCGTTAGTATAAATACTCACCGATACAACCCGTCGCACATCCGTTCTCTCCCGCGCTCCTTACTGACTGACTGACTACTGAGTGCGAGAGACATGTACAGAGTGAGAACAGATAGTGCCAACCACCAGAAAGCTGGGATGGGTTTTTGGGAAGCTGGAACCTGGGACATTGGCTCCATTAGTGGGAGGGAACACCAGATTCATTCCTGCACGACAGATGGCAGCAGTGTTTGCAATGAGCGGGGCTGCTCCTACGAGGTACAGTCAAACCTGAATATAACGGTCACCCAAAGGAGAACCCCATGGAGTGTCCTTTATAGACAGGTTCATTCCGTTGCATGGAGTTCGTTCCACTGCATAAGTCCCACTCAATGAAAACTTCCTAAAGTGTCCTTTCTACTATAAAAACGGGTGGCAGTTCTACACAGATGACCGCTACCACATGTTTGACTGCACACCACACCTCCCCCAACCCCCAGCCGCGCCGCCACCGTGCAGGAATAAGTCGTGAGCCCCCCCCCCCCCAAACCCCCAGCCGGGCATCCCCCGGGCAGGAAAAAGGCGGGGGCCCCCCCCCCCCCCAATCTGCCCACCCCCGTGCTAGAGTGCAGGAGCGCGATCCATCCCTAGGCGACCGGTCGCGTCGCCACGGCAAC